GGTGGGTTTGATCCCACACAGGCAGCGTTCTCTGCCGCAGATATTAATAAAGACGGTTCGATAGATCAAAATGAATTTAGACAATTCTTTCAACAAGGTGTTTAGATATCTTGATACTCTAATCTGACTAAAATCAACGTCAAAAATTGACGAAAATAAGTGTTTGCTTTTAAACTGAATACAAATATTATTCATTTTTTTACATTTTGCATTTCTTTTTAATACCACTAGATATTTTTATTAGTTTTTGCATAAAAAAATATAAAAAGACGAAAGTAAATCCTATTAATATTGTAGGATCGTCTTGTCTTGATTAAACAAAGTTTATCATCTTCTTTAGTTACGAATAGATTCCATGACAAATGAGATGTCTTTTTCATTTGGGAATACTCAGTCAACCGTTTCAACGATCAATGAACGCTTTGAAACTGTTGTGTTAATGGATTTCTTATTTTCCTCTTATCTTAACCATCATTATGTCGTAACATCGGACATATTGTGTCTTTTCTTTACTATCGACTTTTAGCACAAAAAAATTGACAAAAAAAGGAACGCGTCCAATTTTGTGTAGACTTATACATTTATGTGTATTTGATCGAATCATCAAGATTTACGTGCGCTATAGTTATATTTATTCAACATTAGATAACTACATCAAACAGGTAGTTTAAAAGACGATTACCGAGCATGTGTACGTGAATCTCATTCTTATTTCATACAAACAGGTTGATCATTGTCATTCATATTTGTTTGACATAGGATGCGGCTTTTACAAAACAGATATATTATCAGTAGATGTAATGGATGAATAATTTGATGCTTTTTGAGATATGCCAGTTTAATCGGCTCATTCTACATTGAAAGGCCATCAATAAGTATGTTGCATGAGAAAGTTAGGCTAAGCCATAGCATGAACGATCGAACTGATTTTTATGAAACTGGATGTTTAGAGATTTTAAACTATGTTCTTTTCATCAGACACATTTAAAAATATTCCTGAACAGCGAGAATAACTGAAATTAGACAACTGGAATTTTTTCATAATAATTTTTAATTAATTTTAAACAAGACTGCTACATATAAATGAATAGCATTTTTCGAATACTTTGAACTATTACGTTGAAGCAGTTAGATTTGTGGGATTATGCAGAGAATACTTAGGACTATAGCCGGCACAAAGCGAAACATATAGGTCAGTATGAAAAGATAAAAAATGACGATCGTATCTGATGCGATGTGTGATAAATACGTTACCTAATAGAACTATATATTTATTCTAGAAGTGAAGATGTGCTCGAAAATATAAGCATAAAATCTATTCTTTCAGAATAATTTTCTTTAACTTAGATTAATTTGTCCTGGTATTCTTAGTAATTTAATAGGATGAATATAACTTAGAAATGCTAGTAGAAATTAATTACCAATATTCTCGTTAGATAAATTGTATAATGATGTTCAAAAAAACGTCAAAATCAACACACAGGTATCAAAATCACACAATGCCACTGTTGGTTTAATTAATAAATTATCGTTGGTTCAAGTATAATTAAGTATAAACGATGATATCACAACATATTTTGAAGACCAGTGGTTATTACCATTACAATTTTGATATGGAAGTAGTGCGTAACGTTCCACAACCACTTGGGATAAGCCGGAGAAACGATCGTCGAAAGAAAGTTAAATTAACTTTAACAAAAGACTGAATATTAGTAAAAAAACTATTGTAATCTAACATTTATTTTGTTCTTGAATTATTCTTTTCTTACTCGGTATACTTTGCTACTGGTAAACTCATTAATTAATTTTATTAAATTCATTGCCGAGCTCAATTCTCTCTTTTTACCGTCAAAAATAAAATTAACTGAGCTCATTTGTATTTTTTCAGAGTATAAATTAATTTTCCAGCTCAAAACTCTCATTTACATAAATAAAATAGAATTTTATTGGAACCGAGCTCATTTCTTTCATTTTAAAGCCAATTAAGCACACCGAGCTCAAATATCGCTTTTATCCGAGCACCAATTCTTATTATATATAGTTATATACCCTATTATTGTTATATTGATATAGTGTTTTGACAAAGTGACCAATTTCTATATCTCTATTTCAAATTACGATTGTTCATTACTCATTAATTAAAAAATGGTCATTTTTTGGAAACGCAGAATATGTAACTTTACTCGTTCCAATTTGCGACCACTGATTGCGAATTATACTGATTGGCTTAAATTTTGGTCGTATTTAGGAAGTTACGTGAAACAGATAAAATATAATATTAAAAATAAAATAAGAAGGGTATCAATCCACATATTGCCACTTAGAGTCCGCGGATCCAGAGGAACCAGTCAATACATCACTCAGGTAGAAATATAAGAATTAAGAGAAAGAATAGATAATTTGACATTTAAGTTCTACTGACAGTAAAAAAAGAAACGCTTGATGATTTCTGACTTAATTAAGAAAAATACTTAAAGCGTGAAAATTTAAAAAAATCCAAAGTTGAATAAGAAGAAAACGTAAAGTAAAAAGATTACCATGCATTTAATATCATTAGATAACCAGGCAATAGAATTAAGATTTAATCTGTATTTAGTAGATTATTAAACTCTGTCAATTCATTCATTAGGTTCTCAATTGTTTAGACCTGCTCTCTAAAGCCCTATGGGCGATATGCAAGCGTCTTTTTGTGCCTTTTTAATGTTTCAAATAGATGATGGGAAGGGATAAAATTCATTTTTCCATCTATCATTCAAATTTGAGAACGTCTGAATCACAGAAATATACTAACTGGTGTATATCTTCAATGTCTACGCGTGTTTATTTTAAAAGAACTAGATGTAAAAAGGTTTCAAGAAAATAGATTATTATGATACAATCAGAAGTCTTCAGTTGACTAACGATTGGTAACAACAGTTTTTACTCGTTTTGACTAATTATATTATACTCGTTCGATCTGCATTGATTTGACAGGAAAATAAAAACAAAAAAAAAAATAAAAGAACAAACAATAAAAATTATTAAGCGATTAGTGAAGAAGAAAACAACTAAAATGAAATTGTCCGTTGGAATTTGTAGAAGTAGTCTAAATTGCACAAAAACAGATTATATACTAATCACAATTTTTTTCGTCTATTTGACGCTTACTCTTCCGACTTATGTGGATAACAAACGAAACAAGTAGTAATATCCGTTTAGATAATAAAATACACAAACAAAAAATAGATAAACATATATAAAAAATAAAGATATATATGTTTAGTTATGAAAAAAATAGAATTAGCACCAAAATATTATATACTATAATATAAAAATACTTTATGATCTCACACTTACATCTGAATCTAAACTATCACGTTTATTTATATACCATGGTGGATAAGTTGATGTTCGTGCCGCCTCGATCGCTTCACGCCATAAATCAAAATGAGTATCGTAGCCACTTTGAATTTTACTTTTTTCTTCAATTTTATTTGCTATAATATCATTTTTTGGTAAATATATTTGATGTGTAGTATCAAATACAAATATATGTGGTTTGCTTGTTGATGTTTCACGTATAGTGATTGTGTGACTGTCATAATCGTATGAACACTCATGAATTGTTTTTAACTTAATTGAGAAATCTTCAGCCTTATCTAATCGGGCACCATAAACATGTAACTCCAGATCTTCTTGTAATGCTACCCATAAAGATTTAGAGTCATATCGAAAATCTGAAAATAATATTGTTTGATCCGGATCACGTGTAACATTCACTAATTGCACACGAGGTCGTGGTGACGATGTTATGATTGGCGACTGTTTTGTTACTGCTGTAAGTTCATTATAACAAGCATCACATACACGACTTTCG